GGGAGCTGCGTGCGCTCAGCCCCTCTCGAGATCAGCCCCACAGAACGTTTTCCCTTCTCTCGGATTTGTTCTCTGGCTGCTGCCCTGAGAATGGGAGGCCTCCCTATTCAGAGCCCCATCAGACTCCAGGCCGCACATGCATAGCAAGAGGCTGACAGGACGTGGAGGGACAAATTAAACCATCCGATTGGCTCATCCGCCAGCCATTCATTCTTTGCTCTGTTGACAGAGGCATCTGCACACACCAATGCCGGGTCCCAGCACCAACGTTCTGGACTCTAGGTGGAGACAAGAGGGGCCCTCTCCTTGTGCTCCCACCCAGTCCCCAAACTGTGTCATGCTCTGCCCGAGCCAGGAGCCCACTCGCTGTTGAGCTGCGTGCACCGGGATCTCCGCATCCATTTCTCTATGATCTCATATGGCGTCCAACATCACAATAACTAAGAACTTGCAGCACTCACATGCATCCCATGCACCTTTGCATGGGAGCAAAGGATTCTGGGATACACTTAAAACCTTCCATCAGCCTATCCCCGGGCCCTTTGGCGTAAATGGAGATGCTCCTTTGGAAGAGAAGGAGGTTGGCGGAAACTTCGCAACTGGTGCAGAGTGATCCAGGACGGGCCTGCTGGCGAGCGTCCAGAGCCGTCACATGACTATTCGGTAGCCTCTAAGGTCTGGCGCTCTCTGCCTGTGTGCAAGATCACGCCTGCTGCTGCTCCTCTGCACTAAATGTGTCCGCGTGGCTGTCTCGTAGCAAGACGTGTGTCGGCCCCTCCGAGAAGAGTTTGACTGGACCAGGGAAAAGGGTTTCTCCTGCTGCAGGAGGCAGATGCCGGTAGCTGTGCATGTCCTTGCAACAGTGTCCCTGCCCTGCTCAGATCATAGACACCCTGTTCTTAATGTACACGTGGTAGGGGTCGCTCCGCTTGTCCACCCTCCTGGACTTGGTGTAGCCCAGAATCAAACTCCCCACCGTGGCGGCAAACAGGATCATCACGAACAAGATGTACATGTAGGAATAGTCGTCCTTGCTGGCTAGCTTGACGTGACTGCCATTTGTCCGCCCCGTGGCCTGGTCTGGTGGGCACAGGATGGCACCATGAAGCGTTTGGTTCAGGGCCGTCAGCATTGACTGCAGGCTTTGGTACCACGTCTCCGTCAGGTTCCCCACCTCCATGTCCTCGCAACTCCCAGGAAACTTTCTGCCAGGATAAAGGGGGAAAAGTGACTTCAGTCAGGCCTCACTGGGGGATGGGGAGGGGGCATGTACACAGTAAAGAAAGACCCACTGCAACGAGTCTCAGAACCTGGGTTAACTACCTGGGATTGCGCTGCAGGGCTACATATAGCAGTGTAGACGTCCGGGCTTGGGCTAGAGCCTGGGCTCTGAAACCTGGCGACGGGGTGGGTCTCAGAGCCTGGGTCCGACCCGAGTCCGGATGTCTACACTGCTAGTTTTAGCCCTGCAGCACGAGCCTCGGTCAGTTGACTCGGACTCTGAGATTGCAGTTTATTTCACAACGGTTTGAGGGAGCTTACGAGTCACACAGCATCACTGCTGCAAGCCAGGCCCTGCGGTCATGCTGGCTGATTAGCACCAGTGTACAACTTGTGCATATTGGTGAGAAGGAAACAAAGTGCAGCTCCCAGATAACGTAACATTGTGATGTCACCTTCCCCCGAAGGATCCCAAAGTGTAATCCTAATGTATCACCAGCCACAGACACGCAGCGCCACGGAGATGCAGCCACCTCTGGTGCAGAGCACAGCAACCAGACAGCTCACAGTGGGGACATTTTGGCCATGTGCACTTTGGAAAACCCCTGTTCTTACGTAGGGAAATCCTGATCCTTTCCTCTGGGGCTGCAAGATAGTCGCAACAGATCCATTGCAGGGTGCTGGGCGCAGGATTTGTGGAGTCTGTAGAGAAGCTCTGGCATAGGCCTTACAGATCATGGCTGGGCAGGGGCTCTCTGTGCATGGCTCTGATGATGGATTGAGGTAGGGTGCTACTGGAGCAGGAGGGTCTCCGACCCACACGAATCCACCAGCCCTATGCCCTGATGTACAGGGGGCTGGGGCCGGGGGGATGGAGGGGGGGTAAGTAGAGCCCACTGAAAGTAACTGCCTCTTTAGGCCTGGTGGGACAGGAAGCTATTAGGGTTCAGCACAGCTGGAAGGATTTTCCCCCATCAAAAGTGCTTCACGTCTCTGTCTCCCACACTGCGCTACACCAAAGCTCTGGTGATCCCTCACCAGGTGGGAGCCTCGGCAGAGGTTCTCCTCATATTTCTGTTCCCTGCTTTGCACCGCCCCTCTGGTAGCCACCCTGGGGACTTTCCCTCGGCCAAGAGTGACAAGCTACAGATCGGTCCCTTCCTTCCCCACCCGGGAGTCTAGCTTCAGTCTGCCTTCTGAAGGCCCCTGGAGCAGAGCGCAGCACAGAGGAGACCATCCGGCAAGGTCTACACCTCCATCCACATGGCCCCTGTAACTGGGTGATCACCAGTGCCGACAACACGCTCCCTTCATTGTGCTCCCAGCTGGGAGGGGCACCGTGGAAGACCCTGGTTAGACAGACGCGCAATCAGCCCCTGTCCATCATGTCCTAGGGCAGCCGGAGAGCAGTCATCCCTGGGTCCTAACCCCATGTCAGGTAAGCCAGGGTAAATTCTTTGTACTTACACAGCGTCTCCCATCCAAAGAGCGAGACAAAGGGGCCATGTGGTGTTGGCATCCGTCCCGTTGTGGAGATGGACAGGTACCGAGATCCCCAAGGTCACACAAGGAGTCACAGACGTCCACAGATAGGCTCCCTCGGGGCAGTCACCCTCAGAGAGGCCAGAGACCGAGTAGGCCTGCAGTGTGGGTAGCCCATTGGTGAGGTGGGGCGGAGGAGCTGGTCCCGTCGCTGCCTTCACAGGGCCTGTCCTGTGGACAGACAGAGGATGAGTCTCCAGGGCTGTCGATCAGGCACCATCATTCAGTTAAACTAAACATTAAAGTGGGAGAGCTCTCTGGGGCAGGTACCACCTTCTTGGTTCTGTGTCTGTACAGCGCCGAGCACAACGGGGCCCTGATCTTACACGGGGCCCCAGTTTAACCCATGCCATGTGTAGCTCTCTGCCCCTCTCTAGCGGCTC